TGACGGTGACCGGGATCCTTTGGTAAGAACTTTAGAGAATTTTGTCAACAAAAACATCTGATTCAAAAAAGCGTGCCAGAAAATGACTATATCGATATACGTGGCTAGCAAAGCTTTGTTTAAAATAGACGCGCCAAAACGCTCTTTTTAGCATTCATTTGAAATTAATTAGTTTATTGAACCTACATAATTTATAACATGTTAATAGTCCTGATTTTCAATCGCAAGTTTGGAGAGCATCGTCAGAGAGTACGTTGAGCCATAGGCAGCAGCCCAGATAAACAGGTGGAAGATGGTGTGAGAGTTGCAGAGGTCAAAGACACCGGGCCACCACTTTTCGGGAATCTTGCTCGAGTAGATGGCCGCCCCAATGAGGTACAGCGAATCAGTGAAGATGGCGGTGAAGAACATGGTCCAGCTGTAGCGGAAACCCATGTAGACCTGCGGCGGCACTGAGAAGGCGACCACAAAGATGAAGAAGGCACTTCGTTGGACGCTGTTCATGCGATTGGTCACCGAGCTGAACATGCAGTGGTAGTTCATGCCCAGACAAACCACACACAGCAGCAAATACAGGGTGACGTAGGCCATTCGCAGTGGGGCGTAGCTGTAGAAGGTGAAGTAGACCAGGGCGAGCATGACGCCGATGATGTGGAGGATGATGCCGAAGTAGTCCACCTGCGAGAGAAAACGAGACGACTCGAAGGAGCCGCAGTTGAAGGTGTGATAAACCACCGAGCAGAGAAAGCAGATGCCGATGCCGAAGTAGGCGGCTCGCAGGAACAGCTCATCTGCCGACAAAAAAAAGTTAATAACTTTTTTAGAGTGAAGAAAAGCCTACCTATGGGGTCGGTGAAGTGGTCTGGGAAGGCGTAGAAGAACTGGTAGAAGGACATGGCCAACGCTGCCATGTGCGTCCAGATGTTCAGTGTCTGGTTGTGCAGCTGCAAAACCGAACGCAGACACTGCCACAGACTGAGGCCCGGCTTCCGGCACCAGTAGAGCACGTAGGGATTGTCCACCAGCCATACCGGCATCTGATTGCTGGTCACCAGGTTGCTCATCAGAAAGTCTCAGTGTGCCCTGCACCGCCGAATGAATCTACCCTGCTGGCGTCTGTATGGTTGCTCATTTTCGAATTTCACCATTTGCTCTACTTTAAAACAAATTAAAGTTGTCTGTTTGTGTACAGGTGAAGAAGAAGAGGGAGAAAAGTGCGAATCGATCAGCAGGCTCAACAGCGAGTCATATAGTCGCAAGTGATACCGGTACATTCACTGTAACCCACACTCTCTCCCTCACATCGATCTGAGCTGAAGAGTAACCAAGTCGAGAACCTTAGAAACGACGGCAAAAAATTACTAGAACACACAGACACACGTCTGATCAATAATACTTTGCCGGTGTTTTGCAGAAGTTCTTACCAAAGATTTTGTTGACAACAAAGTTTGCATTGCCCAATCAGATTTTCTCATCTCTGGTAAGTTTTCATGCAGTTATGAATTTTTAAAATTATTTTTTCAACTTTTCCCAAATCATTTGGCGCCACCTGACGCCTGATGGCGACAGATGCAGCGCACGTTGTTTTGTTTATAAAAATCAAAACGTTACACTAACGTTTTTATTCGCCAGCAAAACGTGCAACTGTGAAGATGCTTTTCACATCGTGAATCTTTTTTCTATTTTGCCAGTGCTGCAAAAATGGCCCAACTCAAGTGTTTCTCCGTTTTCCTTCTCCTTTTTATTTTGTTACTATTTCTTTTTAATGAAGGTGTCAAAGGTCAACGTGCCAGCGCCGACTTGAAGTTCTCCGACGTCTCCAACACCGAGTTGCTGGCTCGCAATGGCAAACACGAGTATGAAGCCTTGATGGAACGGAAGCGTACCTCCCCCTACGGCAAGTGCTGGGAGGACGCCATCTTGAAGCTGGAAAAGAGTTGTCAGCAGCTTGATGAAAACATTCAGTCATGGCTGGCGGTCGCTTTCACGCATTGCTTTCTTAAAACGTCAGGAATGGCTGATCTTCTCTCCGCCGAGGCTTGCCATTCAATCATTCAACCTCGACAACAGTTCTCACCCTCACTCCTTCCACAGCTGAAGCAGTGCGTCAAAAGCATTGACCTTCGGATATTTCAAACATACTCACTCTTTTACGTTCACACGCAAAGCATCTGCTTTTACCTGCACTCTGAACAGTGGCAAAAGCACACCGAAAACTTGGTCGACAACTTGGTGCACACTGCACAGAGCGTCTCATCAAATCTCAACTCTGCCGTATCGACGATCCATCAGCTTGAAGAGCTGCAGCATTCTTCACTCCAAGCACAAGTTTCGTTGAATGAAGAGCTGGCCACTGCGAAAAGCAGTCTTCAGCTATTTCAAGAGCAAACCAAAGAGCAACGCGACCTAATTGAGAAAATTCTAGACCAGTTTGTCATTTTACGGCAATTTTTGGTTATTGAATTTTCCGCAAACTCTGCTGTAGTTTACTACATCTTTGCAATGCTAGTTATCTACTTTGGAACCACCCATCAGCGCGTGCATTCAGCTCGACTGATCCTTTACATAATGCTGGCTGTCAATTTTGTCCTAGAAAAGAAAGCCGTTGACTTTTTACTCTACCTCGATTTTATCATCAACTCACCACTTCTCAACTCATTCGATGAAAGCTTTGCCGTTATTCGCAACATTTGGACGATCAGAAAAGTCATGGTCTTCTTAATGACCTCTACCTATATCTGGCTGGCCATCAGCTACCGTGACATTACACAAATCAACTACAGAATACTAAATGAAAATACCGCTATCTTGCGAAACATTCAAAGTCAACTTTTGAGTCCTTCAAAGCCATATGGCCAAAAGACACTTACTTGCTATAGCGATGACAGCGACTCTCAGTCTGATGAGTCTGATTACGAATCCGACTTTTCCGATGACGACGAATCATTTACTTTGAGTGAAGTAGAGAGCCTTTCTGACGAGTCTGACAAGTCGCCCAACTCTACCAGATACACTCTTCGATCCTCAACAAAAACCTCAAACTACCGAGCTTTACCAAAAGAATACGAAAACGAATCAGCCAAAGACTTTGCACGCGTTGTTCGCACATCTCTTAAAAAGTCTGCTAGTCGCGAACGCTTAAACTGTTATTCATCTGATGACGAGTACTAGTTTAGCCTGCATTTGGTTCACTTTCATGTCTGTATATAAATGTATCATCTACTATAAACTATTCACTGTACATTTTCATTAAGGTGCAATAAACTGCCCCATTTTTAGAATTCAAATGAAGATTTATTAGTAAAACGCTGTATTTTATTTGTGCGGCATCTTTGTCTTGAATTTTAATATATCGTCAANGCCCCATTTTTAGAATTCAAATGAAGATTTATTAGTAAAACGCTGTATTTATTTGTGCGGCATCTTTGTCTTGAATTTTAATATATCGTCAAGGGAGCGTGAGGAAATGCATGATTTGGCGAGAGAGAGAGAGAGAGTGTGATTAGGCAAGGGATAACCTTTCAGCAAGCGGGCAATTGCAATAAATAAAAGCTCTGNAGAGAGAGAGAGAGAGAGTGATTAGGCAAGGGATAACCTTTCAGCAAGCGGGCAATTGCAATAAATAAAAGCTCTTTTCTGCTACGCTTGTGGGCTCTGTAGAGGAAGGAGAGAGGGAGGGAGTAGTCGAGAAGAAGGCAAGAGAAGTCTTGGAAGCAGCGAGTGGTGTGGTCGCTGCTAAACTTGGACGACCACTTCAAAATCAAGTGACATTTTGAGTGTGTGTGATCGATCAAAGCCATTTTATTAGGTGCTGATCTCCTGGACACGTTTGGCATTGCAGCCTCGGCAGAGGATGTGGTCGTCCAGAGGGTAGCACCCTCTTCCCTCAGCCTCCGAGGAGAGCAACAGGTCGCAGTCCTGCAAACAAATAATTACAATCGTCATTGATGGTATCTAAAAACAGCGAAAACCAATCAGACCCATTGCACTTACCTCGCACTTGTAGCAAGTGACGTGGAAGCTTCGGTCGAGGGCGACCACTCTGACGGTCTCCGTTTTGCCTGGCTCGGGAACAATGGGCTCGTTGCAGACCGAACAACGGGGAGCAAATTTTCTGGCAAATAATAAAAATAAGGTAACATTAGGGTAAATTTGATAATGGCACTGGGCAAGTTATGTTCCTACTTGTGGAAGTCATCGATGCAGTGAATCTGATTGGAGGCGTCCACGGTGAAGGGTATGCCGTCCAGGGACTTCTTGCAGACGACGCACGTGAAACAGACTGGGTGGTACGGCCGTCCAGTGGCTCGCAGAATGCGGTCCAGAATGGGCTTCTCGCAGACGGAGCACTTCTCCAGGGTGTTCTGCAAAGAAAAGAAGTGCAGGGTAAGTGACTGTGCAGGGAAGTGAGGGAGTGAGACTATGGAAAAGGTGCACTGACCAAGTAGCATTCCTCGCAGAATGGGTTGCTTTCCATGGCGTAGAAGGACTTTCCACGGAGCTCCTTGTTGCACTCGAAGCAGGTAAAGCACTGAATGTGGTAGACCATTTCCATAGCAGTGCAGCCGCTCCCCTCGCCCACCACCTTCTCGCCGCATTTATTGCACATGCCTGCAAGGGAAAAGAAGAGTAAAAAATGCGTCAAATGGGGTCGCTGGATTAAAACATCAACACACAAAGCCGATTTGTATAGAAAACAGTGTGGGTGTTAGTGTGTACTAGAGAAAAAAGTGATTGTCATTGCAAAGTAGTCACCTAGGTTAGACCATTCATTGTCATCAAAGGTGATGAAATGTGCTCGGAGGTTCCGAGGCATTGGTCCGGATATGTGGTTGAAGGAAGTTGAAAGGGAGAAATACAGTCAAAAAGAGCGAGAGGAATTAGGTTAATCGCTCAAAGGTCAATGAGAGAGGCCCTCATTGAGTCAGTCAGTACGTCAGTCGGGCACAAAAACGGAGAACATGAGCTGATCGGTGGACGCCGTTGACGCCGTGATTGAAGCGACACTGAACGAGGGAAATGTCGCCTGATAAAGAACAGTGGTATTCGGCGGATCAAGCACTGAAGAATGCTTCGACAATGCAATNTCAAAAAGAGCGAGAGGAATTAGGTTAATCGCTCAAAGGTCAATGAGAGAAGCCCTCATTGAGTCAGTCAGTACGTCAGTCGGGCACAAAAACGGAGAACATGAGCTGATCGGTGGACGCCGTTGACGCCGTGATTGAAGCGACACTGAACGAGGGAAATGTCGCCTGATAGAGAACAGTGGTATTCGGCGGATCAAGCACTGAAGAATGCTTTGACAATGCAACGGGCAACAATGGAAAGACTAGGCACTCAAGTGGCATCGTGCATGGCCAGAGGAGAAAGACAACGACGACTCAGGAAGACGGCGGAGGCAAAGAAGCAGAGAGAAGACATCGAATGGTGCAGAACAAAACACACCACTGAAAGAATGACTGAAGAAAAAGCCTGGCATGGACGGGGGCGATGCGGCGATGAGCGGGAATTATGAATGTCAAAGCAATAGAGTGAATGGCAATTGTGTGCTGTGTTGTGTTGCGCTGGTCGCTCGGGTGCTCTCACACTCGTTTCCCAACAGAAGACGACGAGCGGCAGAGATAAAGCAGCAGCAGGCTCTACGTCAAACAGTGGCTAATTGGCAGCAGAAGCAGGCAGTAGTGGATGATGTTCGGAATCCTGGTCGTCTTCCGACTACCGAGAAAGGGGGAGGGAATGCAAAGCAAAATACGACACGACACGTTCCCTGCAAATGCAGTTTCACTCAGGCAAGGCGTAAAGGGAAAAGAAGAAGAAGGGAGAGAGGAGGAAGAGACAGTATCGCAGGGAGAGGGAAACAATACGCGACCATTCGACTGAATGACAAACTCCGTGGGAATGAGAGTTGGTGGCAGTGTTCAGTGGCAGTGTGTGTGTTGTTGCCTGCACAATTAAAGCCAAGGGATGAGCGGAATAAGAAGAGGAGGAAAAGACGGCAGCTTCGTACAGTTTTCTGCCGCTGTTTGTACATCTGATGCCATCTCCTAATTATCAGGCTCACAGTGGGTCTGTCAGCAGAAAGTCATCGCACGGCTGCCAACTGTCTGTCTGCCATTTTGCCTCCTGTCCTACTATCTGTGCGCTCTTTGCAGGCTGCTTTGCCCTCTCTATCGCGCAATACATGGGCGATGCTGGAGGTGGTGGTGGTGGTGGTGGTGATCACTAAGCCGACAAAGCATCTCCACATTCGAAACATCGTCAACAGCACCAGAATCGCTCGCACATCACACTACTTGCGCATCATCCCTACTTCTTTTGCAGCAGAATTAGGAAGGACTGCGCTAAAGACGCCCAACGACGGCGGTGACAAATTGACTAGCGAAGCGTGTCCCTGCTTCTTTGCAGTGCAAAGCAGTGCCACAACAACTCGAGTATTTTTCCCATCGAGATGAAAATCATCAGTCTCATCAATGGGCTCTCTATTGCCTGCAGTTTTGTGCTCAAAAAGCACCCAAAAAAACAGCATGCAAATCAAATTGATCAGAAATTGTCAAACTGTTGCGAGAAGTGCCAGCAGTTAACAAACAGCAGCAGTGGTAGTTAGGCTGCTTAGAAGAACCTTGGCCTAGAGCACTAGAGAACAGAAGACGGCAGTGGTGTGATGTCAAATACTCGGAGAAAACCACTGAATACACTGCAGCAGCAGCAACAGCAGCAGCAATGGCAGAAAGAATGCTAAGAATAGAATGCTACTGACAATGGAAGGATAAATGCGGCAACAACATGTGAAGCAAACAAACCTACACAGGCACACGTCGTCGAATGGCGTCTTGCAGTGAGTAGGTGTAATGCCTGCCATCATACCACCAGCACCACTACACACAGTCTAGGTACACACCGCAGTGCCATGGCCACCGCCTCAAAACAGCTTTAGTCGCATGTTTTGGGAGTACAGGAAAGTGACCAGAGAGAAATGAGAGAGTGCGAGATCAAAATCTAAAACTTCTGCAGAATGCCGTGGCTATTGTTGTAGTAAATATACCGTGTGCGTGTGCATTGTACTTCTAAATGCTCCTAAGCACACAACGGATTTCAGTGAGCAGAGTCAGAAGGGCAACAATCTGCAGCAACAATAACAGCATCACAAAAAGTGCAAATGTCAGCTAAATGGGTGGCATTTGCAGAGTTGTTGGCAGAATATTATTCCCTTGCAGTTGGCATGTGCCACTAATCTATCTAATAAATTACATAAAAAGCGCCTCAATCAATCATCGACAGAATGAGAGCAAATTGGGACGTTTGCACTGGAAGTAATGCGGCTGCTATTGCTGCTTCTGCCGGTGCAATGCAACACAGTGAGACACTGAATTAATGGCTGACTGATGATGAATAAAGAAGTGATGAGTGTGTGCCTACCAAAAAAGTCAGGTTCTGCGGAGCTCTCCATGCTTTTGACGAGCAGGTCTGTCAAGTGATCAACTTCGTCCTCTTCTTTATTCGCCGATGAGCGGTTCACTCGTAAATCTGCAGCCACAAAAAAGAAAGAAAAATGTAAATATTTAGAGCATATAGTTAGCAGGGGTGCAGCGTTTGTGGTGGATGTGCTGCTGCTGGTGATAAGTAATGACTGGGCTTACAGCTTTTGATCGGTGCGTGAGACTTGAAGGCAGCCTGTTGAAGGCCGAGCGATGGTGGACTGGTGCTGCCTTTGGAACTGGTCAACAAGTTGGCGTAGATGGCTGAGGGGCTCTCCTCCGGCTGGTCCTGGGTCGCTTTGCTAGTGCTGGTGCTGTTGAGGCTAGTAGTGCCCTTCAGTAGGGGCTGCAGTGCCGGACTGGCCGTGAAGATTTGTCGGGCGTTGGTTGCACTATTGTTGTTGTTGGCACTTGGACGACTACTGCTGTTGATGCTGCAGCTGTTGTTGTTGTCCTTTGGACTGCCGTTCGACTGCTGTCGCTCTGGTGGAACTGACTGTCGGGCGCCGTTTGAAGGAGCAGGCGAATTCGTCGGTCGAAAGGGCACTCGTGGAACGGCAACAGAGGAACGGTCGAGTGGCGGTGGTGGTGGTGGCTGCTGTTTCTGCTGCTGTGCTTTGTACGCTGAGGGAAGCTGATCTCGTGCGCCCTGTCGAATGAGAAGAGGCAAGAGAAGTAGCAGGCGATTAGCTCGGCGAAAACAGGAGCCGGACAGACTTGCTCTCTGTGGTACTACGGTTTAGTTAGCGAGGTAGGAGGTGGAGAGAGAGAAAGCCTCGACAAGCAAACAAGACCAACTGTTACTCTCCACGTTTCACTCTTGGCTTCTTCTTCTTCTTCTTCTTTCTCCCTTGCTCTTGCTCTACCAAGAAGATCTCTGCACTTGGTGCATAAATAGCGGCATTATAAAGACATTAGAGTGAGAGAGCGAGAGCAATGCTTGTACACAAATAAATTCATAAACACCAACCACCACTACCACCAGTGAGGCGGCAAAAAGAAAATAGGGGAGAAATATAGAATGCTGCACAAGCAAACTGACTAAATAGGTGCAAATGTCGCGCCCAAAAAGCTTTGCGATACTTTAGAACTGGGCTAGCAAACGACGTACAGAGGAGCTGCGCTTTTGAGAAGTGAGAGGGAGAAAGAAAGAGTCAAGTGGTTGACTGATGAATTGCGGTGGAGGGAAAGAAAGGGCTGAGAGATGCTGAGGAGACACATGCAGAGAGAAAGAGATTGACAGAGACAAGACAACAATTGGATCCGTGTTCTCTTTAGAGGCAACTTCTCTCAACTTTTCAATCAGGACCTTGAGGTAAAAGATCAATGAAAAGGGGTGCTTTTCCAANTCCGTGTTCTCTTTAGAGGCAACTTCTCTCAACTTTTCAATCAGGACCTTGGGGTAAAAGATCAATGAAAAGGCGTGCTTTTCCTTATTGATCGTATTTTTAAAATTGAAATTTTTTAAAACTAGAAAATGCTGCTAGCAAAGTTAGGCCTACTCTAACTGACAAAAACGAAATATCAACCTTGTGCCTAGCTTGTTACCCAGCTTGTTATCGTTTGCCTACTCCCCAATTAAAAGTTCGAAAACAGGCTCACACCGTAGTCCTCGTCATTGGACACAAAACGGCAGTGGCAATGCAATGTGCGAATTAATTAGTGACAAATAGAAGTGGCGTCTTGCGTTTGTCACACTTGAGATATAGTGCGCTCCAGTGGAAGCTTTTTGCTTCTGCCACATCGGGCGAAGGGAAGGGAAAGAGAGAGAGAGGGAGAGGGAGCACCTCGCTCTGGCGATAGCTTTGCGCCCAAAATGGGCTTTGTGCGACACACACTCACTCACACAAAAAGCAGACAGACAGAGACAGCTACCACAGGGAGTGTGTGCCAGAGAGCTGGGGTGCAGAGACTGTGCCACCATTAGTGAACCGTGAGCTGATGCTCGGATATAATAAAGATCCATGTGCGTACGAGCGAGGCGAGAAAAGAGTGGAGAATGAGGTAAATTTGGTGCCATGCTGAATACACTGACAAACAGACAGTCGGCAGCAGCAGCTACTGATGCAATCACACCAGTGCTACCAGGGAATAGAGCAGCACATCTATTATGGGGGCGACTGCTGCTGCTGCTGCAGCTGCCGCTTCTGGTGCACTTGGGCTGCCTTCATCATCAGGCGGGGAAAAAGTGTCATGCTCAGGCGAAACGCCACCTGCAGCGACAACAGCAGCAGCAGCTGCCAAGATGATCAACAAAGTTGGGGGCAATAAAAGAAACGGCGAATGCGACAAAACAACAACAAAAATCCGTTTAGAAAGCAGTACAGTACGGGAGAGATGTCGTACAGTGATACCGAAAAGGATGCAAATTGCAGTGCTGGTGTTGTTGTTGTTGCTGCTGCTGCTGATGATGATGATGATGGCTTCCTCGATAAGATTAAGGGGTGAATCGGTTAAGGAGCGACATGGATAGCTTAACCACCTCACTACCCGTACAAGCGCGCCAGTAAATTCACCTGATACCATAATGATGTATCACCCATGTATCGCAAATCATCGCATCATGACAAGCGGATCAACAAGCTTACGGTTAAGCGCAATGTCAATAGCGACGACAGAGAGAGCCAGTTAGAAGCCCACCACTAGTGTGGGCCATTAATAAATCAAAGATCAGCAACCAAAACGGTGACAACCACTTTGGCGCACAGAGTCCAAAAAGGTGGCACAGTGACAATCACGGGCATAGAAAATCTGACAAGTAAATGTGTGTGAGAGAAGCGCAGGAAAACTTGCGATAATGCAAGTTTGGAGACGACTCTCCACTAAAAGAAAGAAGAAGATGAAATGAAAGAAGTCTGCAGTGCGCTGATGTTTTCCTCAGCCCGATCGACAGCAGAGTAGGCACAGCATTGATGGCACACTCTGCTGCTAATGCTGATGGTGGGATTACTTGATGGCATCAGTCGATGTTTTGCGCTGATGATGAGCAGTGCAAGGAAAAGACAACACTTACAAAGTTTTTTTTTGGATGCTGTCACAGCAGCGCTGATATTTCTCGATATTTTCCCCCCAAAAGTCAATGTCAATTGCGATGAGCTAAAGTGGCTGGAAGAAGTGCCTGGAAGGAGAAACGTTGCGGCACTGGCGGCACCAGCAGTCTCGCCTGCAAATGGGGCCAAAAATGTACGCCGGCTTTGCTTGCAACTTTCAGCAGTTTGCCTCGGTAGATGCAGTGGCAGCCTTCGAGCACACAGCAAGACATACACACAAACACACACACACGCCCAAGATGAATGGGTTAGCAAATGGGTGAGCTAAATGACGGCAAAAGAGAGGCTAAACGGTGAGCTAAAAGTGGGCTGAAGAAGTGAGCAGACATCGCCGCAACAGTGTGTGCCCTCCACTCGGCGTCCTCCTCTATTCTCTGAACTGAACTGTGCGTGAACGCCCACACTTTTTTCAAGTCGCCGACACTAGTTATTCTGTGGCCTGGCGCAAGGCATGGTGCAATGAGTTCTCCCTGCCTGGTATATAGTCACTGCTTGTGGTGTATTAGCGCACTTTTGATCTCTGGTCACCCAGCCGCAGAGGCAGCAGTACCAGCAGTACTGACTGCTCTCAGGCACAGAGGAAGGGGCGCCAGATTGGCAGTCACATCCAACAAGGCTGTCGGAGCAATGGTGCAATGCAGTCTTACGGCGGCAAACTCTCACTGAGTGTGTTTGTGCACCAGTCGTTTCAAGGCCGAACCAGGCATCGTCAGCACCACTAGCACTCTTCCGCTTTGATGTGGTGGTGGTGATGGTAATCAGAAGAATGTGACAAACTCTCAGGGTAGATCGATCAGGTTGATAGGTGTTTACCCAACAACTCGCTGTTTGTTGCTGCACTACTCAGCTGATGAGAGTAAGTGTTTGCGTTAGTTTGCTTACAGTGACTTGATGAGCTGGCAGATTGGCGTACAAATTGCCCTCCATGGTGCCAGTGGTGCCCACGGTGCTCTCGCGGTGAAACTGATTGCCATTAATATCGGTCCCGAATGCATAATTCTCCACTTCCGGCGGCGGTGGTGGAAAGTTCATGTTGGCCATTTGTTGATTGCTCCAGTTTGTTGAAGCACTCACTGACGTAGATGGAGCGGGTGGTGGAGGCAAGGGAAGCTCGTCCACTGACTGGAAGTTGGCGTCATTCTTCAGCAGTTCTACGTTTTGGTAGAGCGGCGAGGAGAGGGCTAAAAGAAAGGTACTGACGTAAGCATGTTTTCAAAACAACCTGACCCGACACTTGGCCAGCTTCAGGCGCTCACCTCGTTGTTTACTCTTCCACTGCTCCAGATGGGAAGGCGTGTAGGCACTCATGGTGAGGAGATGGCCAGTGGACACGACTCACAGGAGGGAGAGCAATCACAGCAATTGGCGGATGGACATTGGGCTTGGCTGGACTGAAATCAATTGCATCGAGCAATTAACTTGCCTGTCAAATTGAGCGTAATCAAAATATTGCAAGTGCACAGGGGGGCGCTCTTGGTACTTGTTGCTGGCCAAAGTTGCGCACTCTCACGCCTGTTCCCTGCACCGTTTCTCTTCCTCAGTTGGTGCCACCAGTTTTGGCGCCCTTGATTTCAATGCACACCTGCAATTAACGACGGTGCACGTTACCTAAATTACATTATAATTTGATGACATTTTGAAATTGTCATCATTAGCACACTATCGATTGTGGTATCGTTGAGCAACTATCGAATCTCCTGCTCAGCGCGCACGTGAGTTCAAGTTTTGTTTTGAAAACTGTGTGTCCACGAGATTCTTGCCTTCATTTGGATTCTGCCCATCTGATAATTCATTCTGTTATCATGTCTGACGACGAGGAGATAGGTAAGTTCAGCAGTTGTAGCAGAGCGTTTTATAACTCAAAATTTTGTTTACAGTTGATAATCCATGGAAGATGGAGACGCTCAAAATCAGTCCTGAAGACAACCCACATGGCATGCTTGAAGAATCCGCATTTGCCACCTTGTTTCCCAAATACCGCGAAAAGTACCTAAAGGAGTGTTGGCCGCTGGTGCAGAAAAGCCTCTCCGATTACAATATTCGCGCTCAGCTTGATCTCGTCGAGGGCAGTATGACAGTGGCCACCACTCGAAAAACGTGGGATCCATTTATCATCATCAAGGCTCGTGATATGATCAAGTTGCTAGCTCGCTCAGTGCCATATGAGCAGGCCGTTAAGATTTTAGACGACGATAATGGCTGTGAGATAATCAAGATCGGTGACATGGTGAGCAACCGCGAACGATTCATCCGGCGAAGACAAAGGCTGCTCGGGCCCAATGGATCAACACTGAAAGCTATCGAACTGCTTACCAACTGCTATGTGCTAATTCAGGGAAACACTGTCGCGGCAATTGGTCCTCACATGGGTCTCAAGGTTTGTGAATTTTGTGTTTTAAAAAATGCTACATTGTTCTAATTTCTATTACTTCAGCAAGTAAATCGCATTGTGGAGGAAACAATGCGAAACGTACATCCAATTTACAACATAAAAGCTTTAATGATTAAGCGGGAACTGGCAAAAGATCCAAAGCTGAAGAATGAAGACTGGTCTCGCTTTTTGCCTAAGTACAAATCTCGTACACTTTCTAAGCGTAAGAAGCCAAAGGTTGTGCGAAAGAAGGCAGACTACACGCCATTCCCGCCTGAACAACCGGAGAGTAAATTGGACAAAGAACTTGCGTCAGGTACGTTTCTAGTTTTAAATTGCTGCAAAAATTATTTTTAATTTTACTAATGTCGTTTGTGATTTTGTAGGCGAATTCTTTATGAAGGAAAGGGAGAAAAAGCTAACTAAACTGCGAGAAAAGGTCGGCGGCAAGGTGAATGCACAAAAGGCACAGCAGGAGAAGCGGGCTGCTGCCTTTGTCCCACCCGAGGAGAGTGCGGCCAACCGAGGGGGCACTGCGTCCGATTCGAAAAAGCAATCAAATGATGTTGATCTAAACAAACTGAAGATGAAAGTAAAGAAGATGAAAAAGATTACATTATCAAAGTAAAGCAGTGAAATTATTTGTCCCTCTATATTTGCTTGCTATCTGCAGTTTGCCTAAACCACAAATGAAGGGCGGACTTTTACTTTTTTCAATAATAATCCTCGTTTGTTTGACTTTTAAATATAGAAGTGTAGGTTGTTTGCTTACCTTCTTTCAACTGCTGTTTTCACCTAACTGCCAGTACTTCTCTGCAACAAAACAAGCTTTCTCTTCCAATTGAGGCGCCTCATTAAGGAAGCCTTATTTTGAAGCTTTATATCATAGCAGATTGCCACCTGCGTCTTGCTGAAAGACCAGTTCAGACCAAAGATCGTCACGCAAATGCCCAGTGCAAGGCGTCTCTGTGTGCCCAATGAACTGACCGCTTATCGTCCTAGCTTTGCCAGCCAGCCTTTCCACTGACTCATTTGTGGACATTGGGCAAGCTTTTTTTCTGCTGAAACGGTGTGAGTTCCTGCCTGGACAAGACAAGTTGTAGTTGTAGAGTGTTGTCCCTTCACACTGGGCACACCAATTCAGTGTCTGTTGTCCAGGCGTCCAGTTCGCCTGGAAGGCATTCGCTTTCTCTCTCCACCTCTCCCATTGGCCACCACAAATGGCACTTTCTGCTGAATAATTCCTAGTACGGAAATAGTGTGTGTGTTCTGTGTGCTGTTCTCTTCTTTGATTTGATGTTCGACAGTGGAACAGAGAACGGCAATTACTGTCGGTGTGTGGCCATGTGTGGTTGTGTTGAGCCCGCGGAGGCGAGAGAAGTGGTGTTCCAGGAATGAACACACACACAGAGAGAAACAGAGACAGACCAAGTGTGTCCGGTTGATTTGGCGCACCACTGAGGTGTGCCAGCTTGCTTGCTGCTTGCTTGCCTTTGGTGGATGTGTGTGATGGAGGCAAGACTGCAAGACAAGACAACATTGACAAATTGACTTTACATCCGCACATCACCGCAACCACTGCAGCAAAGCACGCAGACAGACTCACTCACTCACTGACAGACCGACATTACCACTTATCACTGCTTACCACAGGACCAAAGGCACTCGTATATAGTCAGTGCACGACGGCCTAGTGGCGTTCAACAGTGTTCCCGTTTTCTTTTTCTTCTCCTGCCATCACCACCATCACCGGAATCGGCTTCCAATGGCACTGAATATACTTTTTGTCAGTGCACAAAACTTTAATGAAACAAGTTTAATGTACTTTTGCAGTACGTGATGGTGGGCGACAGTGAAAATAGATGATCAGCAGCAGCAGCAGAAGTAAAGAGTCAGTAGTGTCAGTAGCACTTGCTGCTGATGTACTCGACTTTTCCATTAATTGGCCGCTAATTTAGTCGTCGCCGAAGCTTCGGTGTGTTCCCGCTACAAAGTGAGAGCTGGCGAGAGAAGGCCAATGAGTAGCTGGTGGTGGTATGAGTCCACTGGGCTGACGAATGAACGAATGCCAGCTCCTGCCAATGGTTTCGCTATATGGTGGTGGCAACAGTCGACGACAACTGCTGCTGGCCAAGCCGCCAATGTTTGCCTGCACTTCCACCACCACCGCCGCCGTGTCCCACTGTTCGACGGCGTTCACCCGCCACTGTTGAACCTGAGAGTCTGCTCTTCCTGCTGGTCCCACCGTCACCAGCAGTGCCCAAGAGTCTAATTGGGCGCCAAGACAGCGGCAGTGGCAGTGGCAGCAGTCGGACGGGAAGAGGTAGTGAAGAGGGGTCCGCTTCTCATTCGTCGGTCAGTCCACGGTGACGACGGCTGCAGGAGCTTCACTTGCAAAAAACAGATCTCACTACCGCTGACACTGACACACACACTCTCTGACCAGTCAACAAACACACACTTCACCTGTAGCACTGTGAATGGATGAAAAGGGTTGCCTTCATTGTAACTTCCACCAAGTTTGCCTTTATCACTTTCATCTTCACTGCTCAATTCGAAATCTGTAACCAACCAACCAACCAACCAAGTACCCATTTGTGACCTTCTTTAGCATCTTTATCATCTCATTTCTACCACTGACATCTCTACCCTTCGCCACTACCAATCACTATAGTTCTTCATTTTTCCCTAATCAGTTATTCATATTTTCCATTTTCTAAACAAATTCAAAGCCTAACATGAAATGGGCTGTGCACTTGGCCGATTCCATACGCACCTTGGGGATTTATCGAAGCGAACGAACGCCGTTACCGGTTCTGTTACCATCAACGCCAATAACTTGCACACTTACTTGAATCCCGACAATCCCAATCCAAAGTGCATCTTTGTCTTTGGTACGTCTTTTATTTGTGCACACATTCTTCTCTTTTGATTACTTTCCTTTGCACCTTGTCTGCACTGTCGCACTAAAGAGCAGATTTGCTTGTTTTTGAGCTTCCGTTCCTTCATCCTTCTGACGCGCACTCCATGTGCCAATGTAAACAGGAGCAGCCTTTACCAAGACCTTTTCAGTTTCAGTAGAGACGTTTTTTTTTAAAAAAGTAGCAACAATAGTTTCAGTTTGAAGAAGAAGAAGAAGAAGAAGAAGAAGAAGAAGAAGCGGCAGCAACAGCAGCTGCTGCAGCACCTTTCAATTGATAAATAGACCCAGCAGTGTGTCACGCACCAACACACTATATAATTCACAATCAATGGAGGTGTTTTATATATATACATTTAATAGGATTCATTTGTTTTTTATAAGTTGATCGAAAAGTGTAGAATAAGAATTTGGCATTCTTTTGTGCTGAAAGGCGACCCACTGACACACTGATGACACCTCTTGACATTTCTCCCAAACACCCCACCAACGTACTAGGTGGCTCTGGCTCAAACAAAGGCGAGTTCATCTGGGACATCCTCCAGCAGAGTTGCGAAAACTTCCTCCACAACGACAACAACGTCGCCGCCCAGCTGTTGATGAATGGCAGTGCCGCCACTGGTAATGGTACTGCAGGAGGGAGTAGTAGTGCTGCAGGTGGTGATGAAAGTTCTGGTGGTGGTGGTAGTAATGGCATGAGATTGCATGTCGTCAAATACTCCTACTACTACATCGACGTGGAGAAACTCATCGTGGACAATCTCGCCAAGCGAATTAAAAAGCTATGTACAAACACACAGAGTGGAGGAACGGGTCACTTCATCGACAACTACGTGAACACCAGTGACCACCACCTGCTCAGCGTGGCTGACAGTCCGGACTTCTTCCTTAGTCACAGTCCAGTGCAGAGGCGACGCAAGTCCAGTGCAAGTGACGAGTTAAAGACACAACTGCTTCTATACGCGAACATCGTCACCAACAGCTGGGTTCTCAGTCTGATCAACAAGGAGATCGAGGAGAACAACTTCGGGCCAAATGAGCGCGTTTTCATCATCAATCTCATTCCCAATCGAATAACGATTTTCAAGAACTGCCTTTTCCTCAAACAGGCGCCCAGCTTTGGTACCTTCAACTGCAACTACATTGCCGTCAATCTGGTGAAACACTGCGCCAAGCGAAAAGACCTGGAGATTAAGTCGGATGAGATTTATGATGAGATCAACAGCAATTTTATCAATTACTTTCGGTATGTTGCAGTCTTTTTCAATAGCAAAAAGTGTTTTCCTTTGAACCAAATTAATAGTCATTTTCTTTTCTCCTGACCATTCCATAACAGGGTGATCAACAAACTGATTGACGTGCGCGTTGATGAAGGCTGGGCTAAGCTGCAGTTTCGTCTCACCCGATCAAAGGACGCCATTGAAATAAAGGACAAAGAGCAGCTGATTAGTTTTCTGTACATGCCCAAAAAGGACCAACTTGAGCTCAATATATTCAACTTCAAGTTTGACGAACTAGTGCCGGTGATGGAGAAGGCAAAAAAGCAGTGTCTCACCTTTGTCATCAACAATCAAGTGGACCTTGATGAGGGCATAGTGCTGAAGCTGGAGGAGAAGAACATCAACCTGATTCATGTGCGAAAGTTTGTGCAGCTGTACAAGCTCATTCGCTACTCAATTAACTTTACCTAAATCAGCCCCTTTTTCGCTCTTTTTACACTTTGTTTTTTCACCATCAACAAGCTCATCCTTTTTATTTATTATTTAAAACGTTCTTTTATTTACTCACCTGTATTTTCTCATTGAACCTCGCCTAGTCAACTGACTTCACCGAACTGCGATATGCTGATTTCTTTGCCACTATTTTTTCTCTTTTCAAAATGATAATATTTCATTTTAGCTAATTCAAAGCAAATTGTAAATAAGAGTAAATTTTTGCCACTTCAAATGCGTCTGTAGAGTTCATTGTTCGCGCGTCCAGTGTCCAGTTCACACTTTAGTTTAGACCTGAGTGGACAAAGAAAAAGAAGAAGAGCTCACTGGATGTCAGCAAGTCAAGTTCTTCCGACTGTCTGACCGACAATTTGTCAGCAGGAGTAGTGCAGTAGTTGTGAACTTTGTGAATGAAGTGAAAAGTGGCCAGTAACACAGTGAACAGTTCAGTGAGACAGTGAGAACTACTGCTTAATTGACTCAGCAGGCCATTCAATCACTTGGATGCACCTTCAGAGTGTGTGGTCCAAAGAGCTACTGATACTGCTGCTGCTGCTACTACTACTAACGACGTTGAAAGTGAATTATCCTCGCTTCACTCAACCATTGTCCTCGACGACGGTGACACTGCCAAGTATACTTGGTCTAAATTTGTCATTGGCACAATATTGTGCTGCTGACTGACTGAGGTGACCACCAAAAGCGTACATTGTTTGGCGACAGGGACGGTGCCCAGAGAGAATAAAGTTTCCTTCAGACACACACACTCACACTCACATTGTGCCATTTAAAGTACATTTGCATTTCAATAAGCTCTACTGAACTCAACTGACAATTGCCAACTGTCCTCAAAAGAAAAGAAAAATAGGAAGGATGAGCTGTGTGAAGAGGAGTAGTTGTTGGGAGCAGTCTGATCGTCTAGTCTGCTCGCCGGAAAACCAACAGGCCAGCCTGACCACTTGAAGATCGAGTGGGATCCTCTTCAGAGTTCAAATG